GGGCTTGGGATCGGCGGAGAAGTCACTGGCTTGCAACCCCTGTGGCTAGATTAGTGCCACCTCTGAATATAATGTAGTCTAACACCACATTTAACTATGACCTCAATAATAAACACATAATTGAATTTATACATTTATGACAGTTTCACCAAAAACTCAAACATTAGTTTGAGATGTTTCCACTACTTGGTGGGTCTTAAGATAAAAAAAAAAAAAACAACACACATGTTGCCTGTCTGTTAATGTCTTGTTTCTGTAACGTTAGGATTGTTGTAAGGCTGAAGAAGTTACTATGTCTGCATTATGCCACTTAAAATATGGGGTTTCTCAATTACCCGCTTTGTTTAGAGTGTTACTCATCTCTTTTCATTGGTACATATTGTTTACCTTTGTATAGAGGAGAAATTCAAATTAGTCAGTGCTGTTGTGGTTCAGACTTTTGTTTTAAAGGGAACCACTGATGTAACTCTTATTGTTGGATGAGCCTTGTTCTCAGCTGCCGTCCAGTCAAAGGGAGAACATGTATGTAAGCTAAATGCATAGAAAATATACATAAATATTAGAGCCACTGAGGTTTTGCATGTTTATTATGATGAATATTTGCAGCTGGGTGCATAATGTGGTTTGACAGACTGAGTGTTCCAGAAATAAACCTGTCTACATCAGCTTGTCCAGCCAATAAACTTCCTCCTCTTGAGGATGGTGCTAATTAGCAACTATCACACATTGTAGTGACAGAAAACAGCTGGAGGAGCAATATAGTGTTTATATTATCATGATTTATTTGGTTCAGCACTCTGAGCATTTTCAAAGGTAAACTAGTGTTCCAAGTTCCTTTCATTTTCTTTGTCTGCAAAATTTTTAGCACTTGTGTTGAGCAATAATTGAGCTACATTTTAAATCTGAACTGAATCATGGCTCCAATTATGCAGAAAATTTGTGAAGCCCTTTTTTGAAGCCCACTTTTGACAGTCTTCCATAGCATTTCACAATGTTCTCATCTAAAACTTCTGAATCTCTCCTTTCAAATCAAAGTAAGGATGTGGATAAGTGTGAAGCTTGATAGTGTTAATCGAGTTGTGACAGACAAAGTTGAGCTGGGTAAAAAAACATTTATTTTCTGGTTTTTAATTTCATGAATGTGTTATGATTTCCCCAGCTGACAGCTTTAAACACATCTCATTACATGTGAATATGTTTCACTGACTGTTTATGAGCTTTTCTTCATTAAGCACTGTATTGCAAACAAGCTTAATTACATCACAAGGACAAACCAACCTTCATGATGAACAGATGTCGTACCATGAAAACAATCTTTAAATGCAGTGAAGTATAAAAATGCCAAAACCTGCATGTTGTACTCTGATGCTGTGAAGCTGTAAAGACACAGCAGAGGTTCAAACTCGAACAGATAAAAAATGGATGATGCTCTCAGAGAAAATCACACTGGCCTCATTTCTGAGAATGTTTTCCACAGTAAAGACTGAAACAGAAGATGCAGCGCTCTTCACCTATTAGTCCAACTAAAGCGCTAACTTTCGACTTCTGTCACATTTCTCAACACACATGCTTGTCTCATCCTTTCATGTTCATTAACAAAAAATGCACCTCAGGCCTGCAATTATCCAGCAAAATGAACAAAACAGTCAAAAAGCAACACAGCAAAAGCAAACAACATAACTTGCAACATACAATACCACAACCAGACACAACCTCCAGGCAATACTAAATTCAGTGAGTGTCAAGATCATTTTGTGATGTGTGCAAACGCTGCAGGACGTCACTGCCCTACTCTCCCTCTCTGTCTCCCTCTCTGTTTTTTGGATCTGACAGTTTGAGTTACTGTTTGCCACAGCACAAACAATTTACAGTTTAGTGTGTTAACACAATCCTTTTATTATTTACCATGTCATGAATTGCACAAAAAAAAAATCTGTTTCATGATATAGTAGAATCGGCACAGCCTTTACGAACATGTCTGAGCAACAGTGCCATGATAGCAATGTGTCATAATTTACCATCAGTCAGCTGAATGTCACAGCTGTGTAAAATGGCACTGGTTTGAGACAGTGGGTCTGCAGCCAGCTCATTACAGCTGGTCACACTGTCCAGCAGCTGAGATCACAGGAGCCGTTAACACTGCTAACGTGACTATCTCACTCTATCTATCGGAAAGTATTTACAAAATAAACATGCTTCTTATATGAGCGCTATGAGCTAAACGATGGATACCACCAACAACTAGCTGAACACAGATAACCTGACTATCCAAAGCATAAACACGATCTGCTCACCAGTACATCTAAATTTAATTAATTGGTATGTTGCATCTTGTTTATTTGTTACTTCAGACTAATTTTTGACCAGGAGCAGGAACTTCCTTATTCCCTTGTGACTGATCTTAGCCAAGAAATAGTCCAGGACACAACTCAATGTAAAATGGCAAATTAAATGAGTGTTATTGGGTAGAATCAGGCTGTTTCCTCTTTTTTGTGGTCTTAGAGGTCAAGATAACCAGCTGCTGCCTGCAGCTTCAGCTTTAATGCACTGTATACATAATATTTTATACAGATGCAGCACAGAGCAAGTCAGGTTTATTGCATAGTGTGACAGGAGTTATCAAAAAGTTTCAATCCCAATAGCATGAAAAACGGGCAACAAGCAGCTTTCTGTGTGACACACACTGGTCTTTTCTTTGTTTTTGCTACATGAACAAAGTCTAGATGCAACATGCCAGCGATCAGTGTAGGACGCTTCTTCCTCGTTTAACCGTAGACACTGATCTTCCCTTCGCTCCTCTCTGTCAGCACAAAATTCTCATTATATACATTATATAATTCCCTTGTGTATTTCAACTTCCCTCACACAGAAATTGTCTCACACACATTGTCAACATGCGCTCATAATGCTAATACAATGTGACGCTGGCCTTTCCTTCCTCTGCTGCTGCATTAACATGCAGAGATTAGAGAGACAAAGAGCAACAGGGAGGAAAAGTATGAAACAGAATAAGGAAAAAACAGATTTAGAGGCTGGAAAAACTAGAGCAAAAGAATCAGAGCATGAAGAGTAGTGTGCAGAGGAGAGAGAGGAACAGAGTAGAGACTGAGACAACCTCCCTACAACATACTGCACTTCTCACCATCATCAACAAAGACAACAACAACATCAGCATAGGCAAATATCAACATCTGCATATGCACACACGCAGTTTATACTTACATCTCAGTACTGCAAAGATCCAATCAGGAGTGTGGTAACTCCTCTCCTCTGCCTCTTCTTCTTCCTCCTCTCTGCTTTCTACTTTCTCCCCCCTTTTCTCTCCTCTCTGTTTTTGCCTTTCCCTCAAAGAGAAAACCACTAACAGTGTAATTATAAATCTTCTGTCCTCCCCCCAGCTGTTGTCTTCATCTCCCCTTCACTTCCTTATGCGGATATAAATGAACCTTTTCTGTCTCTTCCCCTCAGTTCTTCTTCATTCTGAGATTCAGAAGCAGCAGCAGGGAGGTTGTGGCTCTGACAGCGTGGATTTCCATTGCATTTCAGTTTTTCCAGGTTATTGAGAGAGACAGGGGTCAGAAATGTGACATGAAAGACCCCGACAGGTAAACTGGATTTCTCTCCCCTGTCTATGGGACTTCTGTATCCCTCTCTCTCTCTCTCTCTCTCTCTCTCTCTCTCTCATTCACACTTTAACAAGAATGCACAAACACATGCACACACTTAGCTGTAAATGCAGACACTGCCTCTGCCGTCCTGGT